TCCAACTATATTCACTTATTTGCAGACACTGCCAACTATATTCTCATATCTGCAGATACTTCCAACTATATTAACATATCTGCAGACACTGCAAAGTGTAATACCATATCTGCAGACACTGCCAACTTTCTTCACATATCTGCAGACACTGCCAACTACATTCACACATTTGCAGACACTGCCAACTATTTTCATAGATCTGCAGACACTGCCAAAAATGTTCACATATTTGCAGACACTGCCAACTATGTTCACAGATCTGCAGACACTGCCAACTTTATTTACAGATCTGCAGACACTGCCAACTATATTCACAGATCTGCAGATACTGCCAAATATATTCACATATCTGCAGACACTGCCAACTATATTCACATATCTGCAGACTCTGCCAACGTTATTCACAGATCTGCAGACACTGCCAACTTTATTTGCATATCTGCAGACACTGCCAACGTTATTCACATATCTGCAGACACTGCGAACTTTATTCACAGATCTGCAGACACTGCCAACTGTATTCACATATCTGCAGACACTGCTAACGTTATTCACATATCTGCAGACACTGCCAACTATATTCACATATCTGCAAACACTGCCAACTTTATTCACAGATCTACAGACACTCCCAACTTTATTCACAGATCTGCAGACACTACAAAGTATAATACCATATCTACAATTTCTGAAACAACTGAAATTAGTATGTGGTAAAGTGAAACATGAATTCAACAAAATGACTTTCATTTTAAATGTTTTATTAACAAAGCCCAAGTAATACACCATGTAATACAAACCATGTCTCTGGCTAATGTATGCTTATATGAATAATGAATATAAGATAATGATATAATACCTTGACCTTAGGATACAAATATGAAGTGACGAACACAAAATATACCAAGTGCAGAAAAAAACAAACATTTATGCTTGAAATCTGCAGATACTTCCAACTATATTCACATATCTGCAGATACTGCCAACTATATTCACATATCTGCAGATACTTCCAACTATATTCACATATCTGCAGATACTTCCAACTATATTCACTTATTTGCAGACACTGCCAACTATATTCACATATCTGCAGATACTTCCAACTATATTAACAAATCTGCAGACACTGCAAAGTGTAATACCATATCTGCAAACACTGTCAACTTTCTTCACATATCTGCAGACACTGCCAACTACATTCACACATTTGCAGACACTACAAAGTATAATACTATCTACAATTTCTGAAACGACTGAAATTAGTATGTGGTAAAGTGAAACATGAATTCAACAAAATAACTTTCATTTTAAATGTTTTATTAACAAAGCCCAAGTAATACACCATGTAATACAAACCATGTCTCTGGCTAATGTATGCTTATATGAATAATGAATATAAGATAATGATATAATACCTTGACCTTAGGATACAGATATGAAGTGACGAACACAAAATATACCAAGTGCAGAAAAATACAAACATATATGCTTGAAATGTAACCCAGACAATCCCATCCTTGAAAAATTGCAGTTTTGACCACGCCCACACAGCTGTCACATGGCTATCACACCGCTGTCATCACTGACACCATCTCCTGACCACATCCAAACAGCTGAGACATGGCTACCACGTGACTGTTATCACTGACACCATCTCCCGACCACACCCACAAACATGGCTGTAACCACTAACACCATCTCCTGACCACGCACACGCAGCTCAAACTTGCCTGTAATCACTGACACCATCTCCTGACCACGCCCACACAGCTGAAACATGGCTGCCACACCGCTGTCATCACTTACACCATCTCCTGACCACGCCCACACAGCTGAAACATGGCTACCACACCGCTGTTATCACTAACACAATCTCCTGACCACGCCCACACATCTGAAACATGGCTACCACGCCGCTGTCATCACTAACACCATCTCCTGGCTACGCCCACACAGCTGAAACATGGCTGTTTTCACTAACACCATCTCATGACCACGCCCACTCAGCTAAAACATGGCTACCACACCGCTGTCATCACTTACACCATCTCCTGACCACGCCCACACAGCTGAAACATGGCTACCACACCGCTGTTATCACTAACACAATCTCCTGACCACGCCCACACATCTGAAATATGGCTACCACGCCGCTGTCATCACTAACACCATCTCCTGGCTACGCCCACTCAGCTAAAACATGGCTACCACACCGCTGTCATCACTAACACCATCTCCTGTCCACGCCCAAACAGCTGAAACATGGCTGTCATCACTAACATCATCTCATGACCACGCCCAAACAGCTGAAACATGGCTACCACGCTGCTGTCTTCACTAACACCATCTCCTGACCACGCCCAAACAGCTGAAACATAGCTGTCTTCACTAACGCCATCTCCTGACCACGCCCGAACAGCTGAAACATAGCTGTCATCACTAACACCATCTCCTGACCACGCACACACAGCTGAAACATGGCTACCACACCGCTGTCATCACTAACACCATCTCCTGACCACGCCCAAACAGCTGAAACATGGCTGTCTTCACTAACACCATCTCCTGACCACGCCCAAACAGCTGAAACATGGCTACCACACCGCTGTCATCACTAACACCATCTCCTGACCACGCCCAAACAGCTGAAACATGGCTGTCATCACTAACACCATCTCCTGACCACGCACACACAGCTGAAACATGGCTGTCATCACTAACACCATCTCCTGACCACGCCCAAACAGCTGAAACATAGCTGGCACACTAACACCATCTCCTGACCACGCACACACAGCTGAAACATGGCTGTCATCACTAACACCATCTCCTGACCACGCCCGAACAGCTGAAACATGGCTGTCATCACTAACACCATCTCCTGACCACGCACACACAGCTGACACATGGCTACCACACCGCTGTCATCACTAACACCATCTCATGACCACGCCCACACAGCTGAAACATAGCTGGCACACTAACACCATCTCCTGACCACGCACACACAGCTGACACATGGCTACCACACCGCTGTCATCACTAACACCATCACCTGACCACGCCCGAACAGCTGAAACATAGCTGGCACACTAACACCATCTCCTGACCACGCACACACAGCTGACACATGGCTACCACACCGCTGTCATCACTAACACCATCTCCTGACCACGCCCAAACAGCTGAAACATGGCTGTCATCACTAACACCATCTCCTGACCACGCCCGAACAGCTGAAACATAGCTGGCACACTAACACCATCTCCTGACCACGCACACACAGCTGAAACATGGCTGTCATCACTAACACCATCTCCTGACCACGCCCAAACAGCTGAAACATGGCTGTCATCACTAACACCATCTCCTGACCACGCCCGAACAGCTGAAACATAGCTGTCATCACTAACACCATCTCCTGACCACGCACACACAGCTGAAACATGGCTACCACACCGCTGTCATCACTAACACCATCTCCTGACCACGCCCAAACAGCTGAAACATGGCTGTCATCACTAACACCATCTCCTGACCACGCCCACACAGCTGAAACATGGCTGTCATCACTAACACCATCTCCTGACCACCCCCAAACAGCTGAAACATGGCTGCCATCACTAACACCATCTCATGACCACGCACACACAGCTGAAACATGGCCACCACACCGCTGTCATCACTAACACCATCTCATGACCACGCCCACACAGCTGAAACATGTCTGTAACCACTAACACCATCTCCTGACCAATCACCACAATGATGCACCCAATAGAAAATATGTGAAACAAAGCAGTAAGCCTTCTCATCTGCACTGGCTCTCTTTTCAGGGAAATACAAGTCTAATGTGCATCTAAAACATCAGTTACAAATCTGAATGGGAAGTATTTTGTTCCAGTTGTTCCAATTTGGACCTGGGCCAAATATGAACCACTATGAACACTGTATTTTTTAGTTTGCAGATTATTAGATGATTTTTTTTTCAGATCTAATCTTTCACTTTTCAATAACATAGGTTCAGCTGATTCCATTAAACAATTTGTTTTAAATAGTTTACATCAGGCGCAGCCCACAGTGTTAGGATCTGGTCAACCATGGTTAATATGAGGCTTAAAAACCTGAAATGCGGGTAATAATCAGATGACATACACAGCGGCCAATGAGGATGGCAATTTTTCTCGTAACAGATGTACAATTATTGCCGGAGCTGAAGACAATTACGATATTTGACTCCACAGAATAAACAGTTTGGGAATATAATCCTACTGTCTATTACCAACAACTGAACCTGAAAGAATACTTCAACTTATCTTAGTCCTACATTTGTAACAAATGTTATATTTGGGATAACACTTTCTTAGTAAAGAGTGAGGCACCTAATCGCCAGCACACAAAGTCAGCGATCTAACCCACAAAAATGAAAGTCCGACAACTGGTAGTCTAGATCACGTACTTTGAGTACCCCTCTGACAAGTGTAAATTGGCACGGCTCCCGTCGCCTAAAGCTATGAATACACAATGCCATTTAGAAAGTGGTAAAATGTAACAAATGTTATATTTGGGATGACTGGGATTAGGTGTCTCACTCTGGCAACCAACAAAAGTACGAGAATCTGAAAGTGTTATCCCAAATATATCATTTGTTACATTTGACCACTTTCTAAATGGCATTGTGTATTCATAAGTCCTACATTATCAATTTGCTCACATTCCTGTAAATTTTAACTTTGACATGCAGGTATCAGACGTCATTCAGAATCAGTTTTAATTATAACATCGGTTTCAACCATCATCAATACGTCCTTGCTGTCTGAAGCTCTATTCAGTAGCTCAGTTGGATTAAACCATGGAATAAACTGCAACATCAACAACTTGAAGTCCTGTGGAACATAGTGTGCTGAGTTCCGTAGTTCAAATTGAAGAAGATTCCACTGTACCACACAGGCATTTGGTACAAGTCATAAGTGAATTTCTGCTTTTGCAGCAATATTTGTTATACATTTCTGTTAAATAAAAAAACTTTTAGGATGTTGTGGACCAGATGGGCCAACGATTCAGTAGCTTGTGTTGACCCTGGCACTGCACCAGCATCGTCACCACCATGGCAACAATGCTGCTGTATTGACAGTGTTTATGCGTACCAAACTGATCCAGTTTCAGGAACCCAAAGTCAGGATTCCCCAGTACACAGCAAGAACAGACAGAACAGAGGAACCGATGTGAGTTGCAGTCACAGGGAACCGTGATTCATACTACAAAGAGCCAAAACACCTCGTACTTCAGCTAATGAGAACATTGCTATCATTATAATCAAATAAATGAAAATTATCATTTTTCGCCGAAACTAAGCTGCAGTTTTTTTCATAGAACAGGTATAACATATTCTTTGCCTATCGTTGCACTGGACAACATGATCAAATCATTGCATTTGGAACCCTTCACAAAGTTCAATCTTGCCTAGCCACCCAGAACAGTGAGCAGGTCATCTTCGTAGAAGGCGATGAGGAGCATTATTCCTGCCCCGAGAAGCATCCCGAAGCACTGCAGGAAGAGATGACAGAACGGGTGCTCCCCTTGCTTCGTGTCCACGGATGTCATTTCCGGCAGCATGTCCACGGTAGCAATATATATGAACATTCCTGCAACACATGCGAAAATCCATTCTGAAGCTTCATTAATGTTGCCAATGGCAACACCGATGAGCATACCAACAAAACAGAGCAGGGAGGAGACACAGTTATAGACCACAGCCTGCTTGACTGACATGCCCGCCCTCAACAACACGGCGAAGTCCCCGATCTCGTGTGGAAGTTCATGACAAAAGACAGCGACGGCAGTGCTGAAGCCACCAGTGATGCTGTTAGCGAAGGCAGCTCCGATAGCCAGGCCGTCACTGAAGTTGTGGATGCCGTCCCCAAGGATGACCATCCAGGCAATGGACGCCACAGAGTTGCTCAACATTTCACAATGTCCGTGGTGTGAATGGCCGCTGTGGGAATGTGGGAGAGATGACAGCATGCCCTCTTCTTCAGCACTCTTGGGATTGGAATGGGAGTGTTCGTCTCCTTTGGGTCGACAACCGTCATGGCTGGTATGAAATACTTTATGATGGGTTTCATCAGCAAAGCCCTTCGGAGACTTGTTTGGATGAACAACCATGACCATTTCTTCACATGACTGATAATCTGGTTCATCCTTACAGACTGTTTTTTGTTTGGGAGCCAAGGTCTTTCTGGTGTGTAGTTTTCGTTTCCTTTTTATGTCAGTGACTATTACTAAGATCTTTTCCATCACAAAAAAAACCAACATCCCTGCAAGACCACACAATCCCTTAAATGCTGCGGTTTTATGTATATCTTCACTGTTCAAAAAATTTTCTTCAGCGCCGTGGTTGTCATGGTTATGCAGACGGTGTCCAATAATTGCATGAGGAAGAAGATGCAACAAAGCATCCCCAGTCAAGGTACCAACGGCCAGCGCTATGAGGAACTGCAACATATGGTTATAAAAGACTTTCTGCATGATTGGGATGACGGCCACACCAAGGAGGCCAACCAGACTGATGATGACCACGGCCAGGGTGCTGTACCCCCACACTGCAGCAGGAATCTCGGTGAAGCCGATCACCTCCATGGTGTGTGCAGGGTGGCCAGTGGCCCGGTGGCCAGCGGCCCGGCAACCAGGGTTGTCCAGCTGATAGATCACGGCGGGGGAGATATGGAGGAACTGCTCCAAACTCAAACTTTTCTTATTTTCTAAATGATAAATATCTAGCAGCTTTCTTGAATCTAGACAGTCCGTGTGATCCCCCTCATGATGGGCCGTCACATCTCTTTTCACCCTTTCCCCTTGAATATCATCACGTCTCTCACTTTCATGTGGCACTGTTTTATTGGTGGTTGATCCATCTGGAAAAATACCGGAATGATCTTGATGCTCGTGACCATCCACTGCAGTTTTATCTGCATCTTCATCGTGTTTGTGATTTACTATATCATGATTGTGTTCTGTCTTTGGTTCACTACTGTGTTGGACGTCATTATGATCATGATTCTCATTGTTATTGATATGATCATGGTGAACATGGGAATTGTTTTGTTCTGATGAAAATATTTCCAAATCATCAAGAAGTCTTTTGAAACTAAGAATTGTGAGTTCATTCTCTTTCCCAAACTTTTGGAATACTTTTCTCGCAAAATACAAACCCTCTCGTAAGGAGTTATTTCCATAGGTTTCAATGTTGTCATGTTTGTGTATATGATGGCGACTCACTTTTTTCACGTGTTGGTCACGTGATTTCGAAGCCCCCGTCTGCGTGGAATTAGACAAGTGATTCCTGCTGGCATCCTCATCCGATCTGTATTGGGGACATAGCAGACACAGACAGTAGCAGACGACACAAAATCTGTGCATGACACACATTTTCACTTTCCAAGTTGAACGACGATGGTACACGAACTTGAAATGCATAAAGTGGCCTCTCTTTGTTCTGTAGACAGACTGCGAGCTCAAACAGGCAAATTACGATGTACACTTCACTTCTAGCGGAGTTGCCAACTACGGGAAAGTGTATTAACACCCAACTTCACTCATGTAAGAACAATTCACGTTTAAATGTCCCTGTTGAAAGTCCACAAATCTTCGTTTCTGTCGGTCGTGTGCAAGACTCTAAATGTGAAGCCCAATACGGCGGCTTAAATAGATGTTTGTGACGCCGCACGCACTTCATGATACATGGCAAATTGTTCATACCCATAATGCAGTTGGCTCACATGTCTGCTTTAATTAGAACATGACTCCAACTACAATATGGGAATCCGATTGCCTGGAAACATTGCGCAGCGTCTGTGACATCCCCGATCAGCCTTTCAACCATAATCCCATTTTAAACATTATTACCAAGCGCTCTCGATGCTTACAAACTATCTATATTTATCATGATGACAGCGAATTTCTCGCCTAGATGTTTACACGTGCCGTGCTCAGCTGACGACGTTGTCTCATGTCGTGAATCAAGAACAAGTGTTAGCTCACCTTGCGGGACTTGACATCCTGAGTGTGAGCTCATGTTGTGAGTTTTCACCGTCAGTCTGCACTGAAACTTAAAATGTCTTCTCCAAATCTACTCAACATATCCGTATCATTTTTCAAAAACATGTAACATGTTCGAGTGTCCGTGGTACAATGGAGTAAGCTTCACACAATCTCTTTTCATAAACCGGCGTTAAGCAATAATCACTTACTCACTCATCTCATAAACCTCTGGATGTAGACATGGATGTTCAGAAGAACCTTCTTTACATTGAAGTAAGGTTTTAGTTTAATCTCCTAGAAGGAAGTTGTCATGCATGGCACTTGTCAAATAGTGAGTCGATCATCAGTTAAATATCCAGTTCGAGATTTATGATAGGATATTAACTGGACGAGGAACACCTGGCCTCCTTCACGAGGCCAACAGTTGAATATTTGACGTTTGTGAACGTGCAAGTTTATAATAATACAAAAAGGCCATCTTTACAGAAACAAGAATTCATTTCACCAAGAACTGTATGAACACATGTGCGCATAACATAATTTAAGAAATCACTTTTAATATTTTTATGCAGTGAAATCTCTTCATTTAAATGGATGAATAATTGAAATGGTAAATATGATAATATTTTATCAAAGCTGAGGTAAGAAATACCTTTAACGTGAGTAAATTCACTAGGTTTCCCTTCTGAAAATGACATTATTAAGCTTCGATTTAACCAGAAACATTCCCACAGACACACACACAGACACTAACACACAGACAAACACACACAGACAAACACAAACACACATAAGCCTGATAAACTGCATCATCATCACACACACCTACACCTACACACACACACACACACAATGGCCTCATTAACTGCATCATCACACACACATTAGCCTCATCAGCTGCATCATCACACACATTGGCCTCATCAGCCGCATCATCACACAAACATTGGCCTCACCAGCTGCATCATCACACACACACACACATTGGCCTCATCAGCTGCATCATCACACACACATTGGCCTCATCAGCTGCATCATCACACACACACACATTTGCCTCACCAGCTGCATCATCACACACACACACACATTGGCCTCATCAGCTGCATCATCACACACAAACATTTGCCTCAACAGCTGCATCATCACACACACACATTGGCCTCATCAGCTGCATCATCACACACAAACACTGGCCTCATCAGCTTCATCATCACACACATTGGCCTCATCAGCTGCATCATCACACACACACATTTGCCTCATCAGCTGCATCATCACACACACACATTGGCCTCGTCAGCTGCATCATCACACGCACACATTGGCCTCATCAGCTGCATCATCACACACATTGGCCTCATCAGCTGCATCATCACACACATTCGCCTCATCAGCTTCATCATCACACACATTCGCCTCATCAGCTGCATCACACACACACACACACACACACACACACACACACACACACACACACACACACACACACACACACACACACACACACACACACTCACTCACTCACTCACTCACTGGTCTCATCAAATTAGGCCTGTCCTAACACTAAATAGAATTAGGCCTGTCCTAACACAAACTAATTCACAATAAGTCGTTTCTGAACATATGTGACACAAGTTCTCGACAGCAGATTCACTGTCAGAGTGCATAATTCATGCATTTTGCAGAACAAACACCATTCAATGATCCATGTAATTGTCTGAACGTAAACCTGATGTTGCTGGGGGTGTGACCTGCCACCAAATGGCAGCGTGAACAGATTCCAATTCCCTTAATAACGATAGTGATAATACAAATACTAATACTAATACTAACAACCATAACAATAACAACAGCTACAATAGCAATATATTAATATAAGAAATACAAGCAAAACATTGATCATGAGGTTGAATCAAAATATACAAAAGTGCTGTTATTATTTCTGGTGTCCCCCGCCGTGATATTGCTGGAATATTGCTAAAAGCGGCGTAAATCCATACTCACTCACTCACTCACTCACTCACGTGTTGTCCTCCATGCTTTTAGGCTACCTGCTCACTTTCGCCTATATCGCCTATAATAGGCTCCAGTGAAAAATGGAGAGAGAGAGAGAGAGAGAGAGAGAGAGAGAGAGAGAGAGAGAGAGAGAGAGAGAGGTTATTTATTTAAGTCTCACTTTCTGTACAGTCATATCATGCAGATAACATTCTTCTTGGGATTAAAACAGGTAAATAATACAGTGAATAGCTAAACGTACAGAAACCACCCGGAGTTGATGAGGTGGGAAGAGGTGAAGTGAGGTAAAATGGGGTTTAACGTCGCGTCCAAGATTATTGCACTTATATAGCGACGTGCATGCACGTGTGTGTGGCTGCTTTTACTAGCCCGGACTTAGCCGACTTATAGTTCTAGCCCACTGAGATACCATGTCGCTGTTTAACGTGAATACCCCACTCAGACACAGTATACTCACCCCGAACCGACCAGTCCTTGTTTTAGCCCCGTAATGCCGAGCGCCAGACAGGCTAACAACAAGTACCATCTTTTAACGTCTTCTGGTATGACGCGATCGGGGATCGAACCCCGGACCTTCCACATCAATGGAAACAGTTTTGTATAAATGTAATTTTAAAATGCATATAATACAGTCAGTGTCAGTGTACATGTCACATTCTTTGAGGAAATATATTTCATGTTCTACTTCATCTGGGCAGGGAGGACACAGCCTGTCGTTGAGGTGTCCCGGGGTCGACTGTACCGAAGTATTTTCTATATTCAGTTGCAGGCTGCCGCAACGAAGAGGACAGAATATCATTCTTAGAGTGATGTGTTTTTTAGAGAAATAGATTTACTTAGTACCTAAGCTACAAGTTCAAGTCTTTCTTTGTGAGGGGGTCTGTCCGGAGTTTGTTGTCGTTAGTGTTACCTTGGGTCATTCAGCAGTTCACAGGACCAATTGCCATCATCTAGCTGACATAACTGGCGTCAATATTTTGTAAATCCATACTAGGCACACTCACTAAATTATCTGTATTTAACCTTTTCGCTAATTTATACACATTTTCCCCCACGAGTGGCCTTTAGGGGTAGACCAAGAATAAATATAGCCCGGGAGTCTGTGTCGCGGCATGGGTCTTAAACGTTCGAGAAATCTGAAGACTTCAAGTCTTTGTTCAGTCATACTGGCAGTCCATCTCATATGCTCTCGAGCTGCAGTATTTGCAGTATCGATTCAATGCCAGAATTTAAACGCCTTTGTTCATACATACCCCACATAGTACTGCCATACATGGTTATAGGTTGGACCAGTGATTCATATAGTTCTGTAAATACATCATTGGTGAAACTACCTGCGTCAAAATACTTAGTGCACAGTGCCCCATGTGCACAGGCCGATGTCCCCCGCTCATGTATGGCAACTGTAAAATCTCAATGATCATTTAGCCATAGCCCAAGATATTTATAGTTATTAGAGTCATCAATATTCACCTCGCCCATGGTGAAATTGTATTGAGAAAGTGGCACAGTTTTCGGTCTAAATTGTAAAATTTTGGTTATATTTTGATTAATACTGAGTGGTCCGTGAGCCGAGTCCAGCTTGGTGGTCCTTGAGCCGACAGACTGACAGACAGACAGACAGACAGACTGGTCCAGACTCGATTATTTACAGACTGCCGTCATATAGCTGGAATATTGCTGAGTGCAGCGTTAAACAACAAACAATCAAACAATACATTCAATACAGTCAACACATTCATCACATTAAACACATTCATCACATTTAACACATTCAACACAATTTAATACATTCAACACATTCAACACATTCAACACATTCAACATATTTCATCACATTCAACATATTCAACACATTCAACATTTTCAACATATTTAAAACATTCAACATATTCATCACATTCATCACATTTAACAGCCAGGGACATCCGGACGTCATAGTAGCAGTAATGAGAAGTGCCTGTTACTCACGGTTCCGATGTGTCAATGCAGTTCCAACAAATGGGGTCGCGATGTGTAAATGTTGGTTGAGTTGGGGAGTGTTGTGTAAATGTTGGTTGAGTGGGAGAGTGATGTGTAAATGTTGGGTGAGTGAGGGAGTGATGTGTAAATGTCGAGTGAGTGGGAGAGTGATGTGTAAATGTCGAGTGAGTTGGGGAGTGATGTGTAAATGTCAGGTGAGTTGGGGAGTGATGTGTAAATGTCGAGTGAGTGGCAGAGTGATGTGTAAATGTCGAGTAAGTGGGAGAGTGATGTGTAAATGTCGGGTGAGTTGGGGAGTGATGTGTAAATGTCGGGTGAGTGGCAGAGTGATGTGTAAATGTCGAGTAAGTGGGAGAGTGATGTGTAAATGTCGAGTGAGTGGGAGAGTGATGTGTAATTGTCGGATGGGAGGCAGACTGATGTGTAAATGTCGAGTGAGTGGGAGAGTGATGTGTAAATGTCGAGTGAGTTGGGGAGTGATGTGTAAATGTCGAGTGAGTTGGGGAGTGATGTGTAAATGTTGGGTGAGTTCGGAGTGATGTGTAAATGTCGGGTGGGTGGGAGAGGGATGTGTAAATGTCGAGTGA